AGAAACAAAGAGAAAGGGTTGAATTCAGAAAAAAAAAAACATAAAAGGAAGCTGGAGTTCGGTACAGCTGTAGCGCTACAAGTCTGAACGCTGCCTAACATGGCTTTTCAGGAATCCTAGCCGGCAATCACGGAGAACAAGAAATAAACAACGAGCAGTGGAGCTTCCCAAAGTGAAGTATTGTTCTTTGAACGCTCTCCAGCAGTCTTACAGGCCAGGCATCAAACGAGAAATCCAAGACGTTACTTTCGATAATTTTTTCACACTTTTTTCACCTGGCGCTGCTTCACCTACTCCATAAAGCAACAGATGGGTTTTGAATCAAATGGATAGAGACTCACATATAATACCCTATGGGTCTGTCAGGTAGGTAAACATAGGTGACAGATAATATAAATATGTATTTTTTTATCACAAGGCTCACTTGTGTCGCTCACCAGGAACATAGCTTGGATTTATAGGCTCTCCAATGTTCTTCGAAACGATCTCTACGTGAACACCAGAAAATGCTGCAATGGAAGAGGGAATTTTCACAGCTTCGAATATTCCTGAATACAAAACTTTACTGAAGACCAGAATAGAAGACGAAAAACACTTGATCAACTTCAGACATCGCGTCATTACTCACCTAGACCACAGATAGAAATAGGTTCAGCAATGCCAACATCGAACTTCTCCTCAGCCAGTCGCTTCATCAAGACATTATCAGATATCAGCGCTGAAGCTTTGGATTGAAAATACAATATTTTTAGTAGCAAAGAAAAGAATTTTGCCATTAGAGCCAAGAATTCTCTACGATCGTTTTTTCATACTCACTTTTCTCCTCAGTAACCAGTCAATGAGTCAATATTCTGACAGTCCCTTCAACTATTATCTGCGAGTGAGCCACAGTTCTTTTGTGGCAACTACTTTTCTTTTTCTTGTATGTGGAGTTTTTGAATGGAATGTTTACTTATAGCCTTACGTTCGACCAGATCGTTGTTTTCAGATGCCATTTGCTAAAAATAAGTGGATGGACGCCGCTATTCTACTCTGAAGTTGCAGAAAGTAACTCTGTTTCCCCAAGAAAAAAGTCAAGATGCCATAACTAACTTTACTGCGTTTTGCATACGGTGAGGTCAGCTTCTGCTAGCAGACATAGGACGGATAATGAAATTCGCGCATTTTGCTATAAAACTGGACCTTCGGAACAGAGTTACAGCGAATGCTATTTTGGCTTTGTCGGGACGTTTCCGACATCCCCTTTGGAATGATTTGTATTCGAGATCACTTTCAAAATTTCACATCCTTCACCTGGATAGATGAAACGATGATGTCATATTCTGAGCGATGCTGAAGGCATTGAACTATAGAATAATAGAACTGGATGCTTCATGTCTGTCTTATTTGTGACACTTTAGATTCAAAAAATTAGCAAGAAATACACTACTTATTTCAAGAATATGATCAAAGTTCGAGATCTGCCGATTAAATTGGCTCAAATGTACGCCAGTCACAATATAAAGCTCGAAGCAAGCCAAGAAATGGTATATCGCACTGTTCCAGTTTATTTTTTCAACGTCAATTCAGCAGCAGTGAAAATTAAATTAAGTAGCACTAAACAATAAGGGCTACATACCAAGAGTAACATACTTATGGTATATTCGTTATCCGAGCAGTTGATTACGTGGCCAAAGTGTCGAAACGCAGGTGCGGCTTGTCACGACCGCGGCGACCAACTGTTTCCAGCCTGGTTTAGCCATTTCCTCCCTTATTTTCACTGTGTTCTCTTTAAGGAGGGTTTGTGTCATTGCCCTGGTGAAATGTATTTAGGCGTTGATGTCTTTTTCTATTTTTGTAGTGAAGTGTTTTTGTGCGATTTTTCGCGAAGGATTTGTTTGACTGTTTGTTTGATTGTCCCAAAAAAATTAGGGAGAAAATGGCTAAACCAGGGATGGAAACAACTGATCGTGACGCGCAGCAGCCGCGTAGCGACCCTTTATCCGCCTAATTGAGTGCACGGATTGCGAGCGTATAGCAATTATATACAATATCTCGTGTCGTCCTATAAGCCACCATTGTACTGAGATGTTCTTTAGCCTAGGACTTCTAGATGGCTGACCCGACAAACATATATTAATGCTCGTCTCTCTGTATGCCGGTATGAGAATGAAGCTAATCCGTTTCTATCTTTTTCCTTAGCCTTACTTTCCTACTCTCCCCCAACCCTCTTTCTTTTCCTTGATTTTTTTCTTAATTTTTGGAAGGGGGACGTAATACCGAAGAGCAGTGTGGCCCCATATTGCGATCCTTTTCATCACTCTGCTTTGACAGCAACTTCAGAACTTTCTTCTTCTCGCAATTAGTTTTACAGGCATACCTTAACTACAACGGCTAAATTCCGTTTTGGCAAACTCAGAAAATTTTGAAAGTACCACTGAAAGGGTGGTATTCCGACTTGTTCAAGTTTTTCACCTTTCTGTGTACGTTTTGAGAGTATATTCACGTTGCACCACAGAAAATAGCACGCGCACCTGCGCGAAGATTCACCTTTGTTGTGGTCTTATTGCATGCACCTGAAGGGCGACGCCACATTTCGTCACGGGAGCGTCACCTGCACCTTGTGACCAAAAGCGGAGTCTTATGGGGCCGTTCACATTTTCCTACGAAAACTTCTTTTCACCTTATTCAGCTCAACAATGGCTTCTACCACAGATCGACTTCCCATAAGCTCACTGTAAGTATTACATTCGCAATGTCTTAGGTTTCCATTCCATAACATAAGATTAATAAGAATTTCATCAGAAATATCCGAGTGTAATTTATTGGTGGTCAGGCAACAGGCTAAAGTTTATTTTTGCCCTCGAGGGAGAATTTCGGAAAACTTCGAAGGATTTTATGAAGCTATAGTTTGAGAATACTATTCACAGTTGATTCAAAATCGTACCTGCAGAAGGCCAAAAACACTTGGCTGCATTTTCCACAAGCGGCTCACTCTGTCCGATCTGTGTCTCATCATCTCTTCAGCTCGTGGTTCCACAGGGGTTTTAATGATTT